CACCCCAGTTACATGTCAAAATATTCTGGCTCTACCGCTGTTTTTCTTCTCACTCGTTCTTCGGCTCAGTGTGTGTACTGCCCCGCTGAGCAACAGCTCTTGTTCTTCAGAGGCAGACCATTAAATTAGCTAAATTAAATGACAAAAATCAGCCCCAAAAAAATCGCTTGATATATTTGTCCAACCCTGTCATTTACCCAATACATTAGGTATGTCCACTGATGTCCATAGCACACTAAGGACACATGCAGACTTAATCAAGATTCACCTGGATTGTCTCATTTTTGGAAACTTCATCATTGGATGCAATTGAAAGGTGGTATTATCACATAAAAAGTATACACATTGGGGCTCGAAAGCTGATGAGGTAGGCCTTTTTTATTTTTATTTTCTAGTGAGAAGGCATTGTGGTATTATAGACTATTGTATCAAGAGCCAATGGTTGCCTCACTTGAGCAGGTAGCAGGTGTATGCTGCACTATACTACCAGTCTACTGGAGTTATTTGTAGTTCATGTTATCTTCTAGTGGTAGGATAGCAAGCCACTGGCTAGCTAAAGCCTCTGTTGTCCTTTTTAATGGGCATATCAAGGGCCACTTGTATCCCCTGGTCCACCACAGGGAGAGGGAGACCAAGTCTGGCTGCAACATGACTCACTGTTTGGCCTTGTCACATTGTGTGCCAGCTGTGCCATCTAAACTGCCCTTTCACAGTGTGTGATAGCTAACATGCCAACCTATGACCCATCCTGATTAATGAAGGTGGAAGCCTCGCCCAGTGCTGGGCTTATGTCCCTCTGGAGATATGATTGTTCTTTGTCCATGCATACATAACTAACCTCTCTTTTCCTTCTATCTATCCGTTGGTACATTTATTCATCCACTGATCAGTATAGCCAGTCTCCAATTTAGTCATCCATCCATCCACAGATTTCTCCTCATTTCTGCCGAGCTTGTCTTTCTGTCACTGTCTATTTTTCTTTTTACTGTATATCACTCTCTTCATCCCAACATCATTATCAGCGGGTTTAGAGAGCTAGAATGGATGCAAAGAAGAGGCTGAAATTGATGCAAGAAAGAAGAATTTAGAAGGCATGTGGATGGAGTGAAAGAGAGGAGGAGGGGAGAATAAATCAGATGGATGATGTGACAAATCTGGCATTTGTCATGACCAAGGGCAGCCTGGGAGACACCATAATTGACCTAACGATGTAAACAAAGTTATAATTCAAATAACCTCTCCCAATCTTTTTCTCCTAATCTCTTTCTCTCGCAGTATCTCTCTTTCTCCATCCTACTCCATTCATCACCAACTCTCTTCTATCCCTTCACTGCCAATTCTCAGAGAACACTGTGAAGGTTTTTGATTTGACCTCAAATTTAAAAAGAAGATGCAGAAGTGGCAAACCAAACACTCTGGAACAGTGCTGTGCTGTGCAGCAGTTTTGACGTGGTGGCTGCAGTTGGAACAGCATTAAAAGTACTTGGAGGCAGACAATAAACTCAAACAAACCAGATTTGGGGTGTGGTTGCACAGCAGTGCCAATGACTTTATTTAATACAATGTTTAACACTTATTAAGGCTTTAAACTTAATTTTAAAAGTGATATTATTTATGACTGGTGGAATCTCTGCTTCCTCTGTTTCTTTTCTGTTTTCATTTTGTTGAATTAACCTCCCCCAACCCCGCCACAGTGTTTTCCAAAACAGAAATTGGCAATCTGTTTAGAGGGGCTCCAACTGAGCGCTAGCCAGATTATCCGAAAGATTAGCTTCCATCATACCCAACTGAAAGACCACTGGATTAAGTGGGTGGCAGTGGTAGTCATGGTTGGCGAGGGGGATTTGGTTGGCTGCTATTTGTTGTTTTTGGCCTGTTCCTCCCCAGACCTCTGAGCATAAATCTGATTTAGCTAACATGGTTTGAGTCTTTGCAGAAACGAGAGTCATTGCAGTGAGAGGCGCTTTGATTTATTGCTATTCTTGGGGAAAAACTGGTTATTTCATTCTCTCTCTCCGGCTCAGTGATGAGTGATTATGTCTCCGTAATTGAGGAATTACAGTGTGTGCGTTCATTATAGGTACATCACTTGATCTACTTAAGCATGCATAATTACAGGTTAGTTCACATTTGTTCTCTAGAGAAGTTTGACTCTGACTACAAGATCTTTCTAATTTTTTGTCTCCCACTGGAGTGTCCTTTGCTAAAATATTTACACTGCTGATCAAGCTGTCAGTAAACGCTGTCGTTGACTACATTATTATTTTTTGTTATTGTTGTAAATAAAAGTCATTGTCCATCCAATTTCAAACCATTAATCCTGTTGAGGGTTGAGGGGGCTGAAGCTATCTCAGCATGTATTGGGTTTAAAAACCCTGGATATGTCACTGGTCTGTCACAGATTTGTTTTTTTTTAGATGTATACAATTATCTTTTTGCATTCTTTGTGTAAACCTGCCCAGTCCATCTCTCTGTTACACCAGATCGTTGTTATCACTTATGTCTTTAGTTAGTTTGACCCTAATCAGAAGCTTAAGTTTTGTAATCAGATCTCTGCCTGTTTCCATCATCAGATGATGGGAATCTCACATCAGATTACAATAATATCAGTGGTTCACTGGTTTAAGGTTTATCTGCCCACCACATTTGAAAAGAAAATCCATAAAAAAATTTGAGTAAAATTATGTCCTGCTGTCTTTCAGACAATCAGGCAGACAAGTAATTACATCACCTGTTAAAAGAAAGTAGATATCTGAAGAATTGTTTGCAGAATGGGAAGTTATTTTAGTCTGAGTGCTGCATGCTGACATGCAGCATTTATTTCCTCAACGAAATGGAAATAGAAGTCCATCAGCCCATCTGCATCAGTCGCAGTCAGAAGTAGTAAAGTCCTATTTTCTGGGGACACTATGTGGGCTGTGTGAAAGGATATTGCCTGCTGTGCTGACCTGAGGATTGAGTTATACGTTGGTAATATCACCTCCCCCCTGCAGCTTTCCTGGCTGCCAAATGTCAGTCTAGCACAGTCTTATCCAGGAATGGTAGATTACTTTATAGGCTTTGGTCTTTTAAGTAGAAACACAGACTCTTTAAACCATAAAGCACCCCAGGGAGCTAAAAGTCTGCACCTAAAAACCCACAAACGCATATCTCTCAATGCAGTACAGATGCATACACAAGAACACAAATGGACAAGATATCTCAGAGTTGCAGGGATGCTTACTCCAGTTCTCATCCTTGAGCCATAGCATTCCCCTTCCACAGGCACACACACACACACACACACACACACACACTGACAACCAAACAGTCTTCTGTCTCAGATGTCCTCTAAGATGGCTTATCCATGGTGCCGTTGTCTAATCTCCTCTCATTAGGCTAATCTTACTTTTACACTAAGTAGCTTGTTTGAACAATCTTATAATGCACTCATACACAATCATCTGGGCTAAAAGTTAGGGTTAAGTTTCCTTTTAAGTCTATGAAGTTGATTTTTTAATTATTTTAGGAGGCATCAATATGTTTTTCTCCCAAATAGAAATTCATAACTACTTATTACCAAAGGTTAATAAGAAAGGGTCTATTGAGATGAATATTATTACAGAGTCTGAAAATGTAAACTTTACTAAATATACCAAATATCAAATACATTTTGAGAAGCCAACTTTTGCCATGCTCTAGACATGCACAGCATTCATGGAACAGAGCTTTTAGATAAAATGTTGGCTTTTTGGAGTAAAATGTCATCCCTCTTACTACAATGAATTCAGTGTGTATTCAAGCTGAATTGTCGCATTGTGCACAAACTGAGCCTTTTAACAATGGCTGAATGATCTCCAGAGTTTGTCTGTAAAGGTTTTCTGAGTTTCAAACTACTTTGCAAACTACATTTTAAAACATCAAGGGTAAAATCCTGCCTGAGGATGCGTGTTCAATTCTTAAGAACAACAGATCCCTGTCAACGGTCACTAAATCATTGGCTTAGTGGTTCCTCCAACAATTATCAGACATAATTAATTCGTTTTTACTTCAGTGCCAAAACTAATTTCTCCTGTGTAGGTAGGTGTCTGTTCTTTGCAGATTTTGGAGATCACACACATTGTGAGTAAAGTTTTCATTTCCATTGGCGAAACAGAGCTAATACAGTTTCTGTAATTATGCAGTGACCTGTTTTAGTTGCCATCGTTAGCTGATAGAAACTAATTAGGCAGACAGAAAGATTGGTTTGAACAAGCTTGTTAGTGTGCAGTCAGTCGTGGTACACAAACCTGGGGATGAGAGCCCAACATATGGCTGGAAGGATGCTGTGTGTGTGTCTGTGTGTGTGCGTCTGGTTGTTTTCACCATGTGTGGGTGTGCGTGGGTGGGTTGGAGCCTGTTGCTGGTTGTGCATGAATCTCTGGTATTGTGTGTGTTTGACATATGGGCATAAGGCAGTAATAACCACTCCAAATGTCTGCAGATCAATACAGAGACTTCTGTGGTAATCTCTGGCTCTGGAATCTGGGCTTTCCTGTAATGATGCAGCGTGGCCTAGCGGCCTAGCGGTCAGACAGATTTACCAGTAATTAATAGATCACAGGTTGGAACCTGTGAACTTGTTTACAGCCTTCATGTCCCCTCAGAGTGGCCGTGAGCAAGGCACTGGACCAAATTACTGACAGTGACTTTTAATAATACACCACCTTCTGCTTCTGCAAAATGTAAGTGACGTTGGTTCAACTGGCTGATGTAGCTAGCAATCCCAGAACAGTGTGTTGGATCATTGGGAAAGGAAGGGACCTCCAAGGATTAGTTGGTTACATACAGATTGTCTACAAAAGCTAAATGAATATTAATTGAAGACTTAATATTTCTGTGTGTAAGAGCATACATTAACAGATTTATGAACTCAATATATCATTTCCTCAAATGTATTGTATATATGCTCAATTATCAATCAAAAATCTCTGCTGCTCATCCAAAGAACTAACTTTTGTATCTTTCCGTCTCTCCTTCAGATCCAGTCCATGGTCCCCAAAACGTCAATGTGGTGGATGTCAGAGCCCGCCAGCTGACTATACAGTGGGAGACGTTTGGGTATGCTGTGACACGCTGCCACAGCTACAATCTGACGGTACGCACAGCAAGTCAGAAGTGCAAGTTACATTTTATGGACATTAATTAGTCTCCACCATGAAAGCATAACGGGAAAGTAAGTCAGAATAGGTGGCACATTTTGCAGTTTTTATGTAAAAGGTCAAGTAACTTTTTGGCTGGTACATTATTTCAAAGATGTTAAACCTCACTCACAATAGCAAAATTATTTAAAGAAATGATTATGCTTTGTAACTAAAAGTGAATGTACAAACCCCTCCATCTCTACACTCCAATATCATATCATAATTTGCTTCATCAGCAGGTGTTTTGCTGAACCTTTATGCACATTTAGCAACGCCCCTGTTTCAGGTTCATGTCCAATTCGTGACATTCACAGTTTGGACCTGCACAGTTGAGTCACATTCACTCTACTTGGCAATTCTGTCAAAGCATTGCAGGGTTAAATGCATTACATAAGGGCAGCTCTGCATTAGCAATCATTGTTTATAACCAAATTACAGTGGGATATATGTCTCTTTCTCTCCTGTTTTCCAGGTGCAGTACCAATACGTGTTTAACCAGCAGGAGTTTGCAGCGGAGGAGTTGATCCAGACGTCATCACATTACACTCTGAGGGGGCTGAGGCCCTTTGTCACGGTCAGACTGCGGCTGGTCCTTGCCAACCCCGAGGGCAGCAAAGAGAGCGAGGAGATAGTCAAACAGACAGAGGAGGATGGTGAGTGAAAAAAACAACATTTGCAAGAGTACATTTAAATTGTTTAACAGCAAACTGTATAATGAAGTATTGATCCAACCTATAACCAGCCAGTTCATGACAGCTTTAGCTATTCTAGCAGCTCACTCTTGGTCAGTGTCTCCTGATACAAACCCTCTGGCTCACAGAAAAATTATTCATTTTACATTTCTGACAGCAGCAACAGCATTAAGAATAAACAGGAGAACTGGCCTCCTACAGAAACTCTAACATAAAATACAAGCTAAAGGCCGTCGCAGACCAACCCACACTGTGTGACTGACAGATGGTTCTGGGAACTGCAGTGCAGCAACAACCGCTACAGTAACTAAGCACTGCCTTAAGGGAACGGGATAGCATATAGAGACACATTAGATCTATATAATCACATGATAACAGGTTCAATCCTTGCATCATCGAAAATTGCACCAATCAGCAGCTATCTTATCACTGTGCTCTTGAGCAGGAAGACCTATAGGACATAACTGACATAGTTTATTAATGCCTCAAATATAAATGTACCCCAGGAGTTCAAATTATTTCAAAGCAACAACATTTTAAACTCCTGTTTCCTTTCCAGAGGGCTCCATGTTCTACTAATTCAGAACAGAGTATTTGCCCCAGCCACTACTACGAATAATTCATTGATGCTTCACATTCCTCTCAACAACTTGCCTGCGATAAACTGGAATAGCTTGAAATCCATTAGAGCAATGCCTGATAAGCAGGATAAAAACATTGTTGTAATGATCCTAAATCTCTCATCTCTTTCCCACCCTCCTCAGGGCTCTCTGCTCTTCTCCTGATCTCATAACTAATATCCTCTGAATTTAGCTTCTGGGGAACATCACATCTCAGCCTGAAATTCCTACCTTTAGTAGCTGAACACACACATACTGCAAGTTGTCTAAACCCTTTAAAAAGAGTTAGCATGACTGGGGAGTAGCAATGGCTTTGGGGGGAAGGAAAAAAAGCCTTAATTGTTTTGTTCTTAATTGTTTTTTATTTAACCATCGTTAATCTCCTGGTTGTAATTCAGTAATTAGGGAACAGAACAGCAATTGTTCACACGGAGCCTAATTGCTGTTTGTACGGTAATGGCTTTATGGAGCTGGGGCTCCAGCAAATGAAGCCGCTTTCTCACACACACACACACACACACACACACACACACACACACACACACACACATATATATATATGTATAAATGGATTTGCTCATATTTTTTACTGTTGCTGATGACATAGAAATATACTGTAACTTATGTTAAGGGACAAAATGAGGGATCTGCAATTAAGATAGAAAATTACTTTTCTCTCATGCACACAAGACTCAGTAATCTCAGGATGAGAGCTTCTCAGGTTTTAATCATATCCCCCTTAATTGTTTTACCTACTGTAAGCTGCACTCTTAAGATTTAAAGTATATTAAGATGCACACAAACACACACAGTCACATAAGTCATGGACACCTTGGCTGTTTCACAATGAGGCATTCAGCATTTTTAATTTGACACATCCACTATTGCAGAAAATTGTGTTTCTTTCTTACCTCCATGCTGCTCAGAAGTTGAAGGTTTTACTCCAGAAACTTTGCCGTGCTTTTGTTCTGCTGCACGCCACCACTATGCTAATTGCCTTTAGGAGTGTATAAAAAGTTAAAATGAAGAAAAAAAGAAATATGAATATCAGAAAGTTAAAATGGCTTAATGAAATAAAAATGTTACTCTCAACAATGTACGTTTCTTTCGGTGGAGGTGAATTAAATGAGTTTCTCATTGAGTTTATGATCATGTAGGTCCACACATACACACCCAAATACAAGGGTACACACATTTTCAAATGCCTACAAAAATACTATGATAATAATAGTTGTTTATTACATATTCAATTCAATTCAATTTTATTTGTATAGCGCCAATTCATAACAGAAGTTATCTCAGGACACTCTTCAAATAGAGCAGGTCTAGACCGAACTCTTTAAAACATTATTTACAGAGACCCAACAGTACCATCATGAGCAAGCACTTGGCAACAAGGGCAAGGAAAAACTGCCTGTTAAAAGGCAGAAACCTAGGACAGATCCTTCGGCTCTAGGTGGGTGGTCGTCTGTCTCGACCAGTTGGGGTGAGAGAGAGAGAGAGAGAGAGAGACAGACAGACAGAGACAGACAGAGAGACAGACAGACAGATAGATGCACAGCAACAAGTGTATTGGTAATGGCAATCTAGCAGGACCATGGCAGGAGGCTCCACCAGGATCGATAAGAACCTGCGAGATGAGAAAGCACAAGGACATATAAAAAAGATACTGTGAGGAGGATGTTTATACTTTGGTCTGAATATTGCGGTGACTAGTTATCTAAAATACACTTTTTGGTCTGTTGTGTGTTGTGTCTGTCTGTATTTGTGCATCTTTATGTTTGTTTTTTATTCCCGTCCTCCATTTTTCTCCAGTTGTCCATCCGTTCATAATGGCAAAAGACAATTTCAAGCCACAAACAAACACATGCACACACACACACACACACACACACACACACGCACGCACAAACAGAAACACACAGAGAGACTTGCCTTAGAGACAAATGTCATGTCCACTCATTGTACACACCAGCCTATTAACCTAACCATGAAACACCTATTTGTCAGGTAGCTGTCAGGTCAGCTCAATACAGCTGCTTTACCGCCAGGCCTCTTATTTATCAAATATGTGCTAGAGGAAGTCGGTGTAGCTGTCTCACCTCTTCTGCACACAAACTCTGCCAACCTTTTCATCTAAGAATGAATGTTATACAATGGTATACACAGCATCAGCAAACTGTGTTGTAAGGGCAACATAATGCCACCTGCATTAATCAGTGTATCAACAAACTCTCATCGAAATGCCCCTGAGCACAGTGTTTAACCCCTCTAGATCCAAGCTGCAAGTGAAGATTGAAGCTGTACTGAGCATCTCCCACTTAGTTATTGGGAAAAAGTAAACCGGGTACATTGTATAAGCTGGCCTACTGAAATAGCTTGTTCCTTTCCTGATCGACAGATTGAATGTCCGACATGAGCAGGATTTGTAGCTGATAAATCCCCCCGTTTGGTTCAGTAGAACAGTATGAAACCATCTGCATGGATGTGTATTATATAGTAGTCTTGCCCACTCAAAAACATTGCTTCATAGCACTACTAGTGGTCAAAAACTACAAAATATACCTTTACATAGTGATACTGGAGTAGCTACCACAGAATAAATGATGTTCAATATTATGCCTTTGAATTTACAGCTGCCACACCAGCGCTAAGGGCTGCTATAGCCACGTCACAAATCTGTGTCGTCCCAGCTAAGCTTCCTTAAGCGTTTTTACTGTTCTTTTTTTTTACTACACAGTTTTTGTCATTGCCTTGTGATCACTTGTACTAGGCTATTATATTGAAAATTCTTTGTCCAAAGTCAAAAGTCAAGTGATGTGTTTGGAGTCTTGGAGATCTGAGGATAAAGAAAGTGCACGCCTACATTTGAAAACCAGACTATTCACCCTCGCTTATAATGTCAGTGAACTCAACCTGCGTACTTGAGCACAGCTGGTTTCCAGGTTAATGTGCATGGTGAGTCATATGTGGTTTCCAGAGAATTAATGATGCTGATGCCTCAATGGAAATATTAGAAATCTGTTTTACATTAATGGTGTAAAAAGGAAGGGTTAATGTTAAAACAGCAATAAAACGAAATATGTTACGTTGTTGCGAACACTTCTGGCTCAATATGTTGTTTTTATCTATCAGGATAGATATCCAGAGGTTAAGTACTTTTCAAAGTCAAACAGCAGATATTAAATATTAAATATCCCTCTATTTGTGACATGTTTATATCCTTATAAACACCCCCATTTCTATTAAAGAGAAAAAATGATCTCCGCACTCAAAGGACAACCACAGTCATTGAGATTTAATAATCCTTTTATCTTCAGAGCACAGTTTTTTTTCACAATAGAAGAAAAACAACAATCAGAGACATCAGCTTTTGTTATTATTATTATTTTCGCTTGTGCAGCTGTCACTTTTCAAAAAGGCAATCCCTTAAAGTGAATTTATCATCAATTTAACCACTTATTTGGTGTACCAAAGATCACAGAGTGCTCAACCCATTTTAAGTGAAAAAAGAATAAATGAAAACAAAAAATCACCATAATTAATCGTGCCTTGTTGGTGCTGCTTTGTGTTTTAAGTTTCTTCAAAGCTTGTGTGAAAACTGAATCTGGTTTAGGTTAACAACTTCAAAAGTTTTTCATTCTGATATTTTTAAAGATTTGACTTTTACAAGCCTGCGTTTTGTGGCATACTGTTTATAGCAATTGTTACATGATTATGGAAATTACACTGTGATATTTGAATGATAAAATAAATATTTTTTACCTTTTTAAAAACAAGGATTTTCACCCACTTATAACATCTGCTTTTTGGAAAACTTTAAAAAACGTCTCCTACAAAACACCGGCTCATGTTTTTAAGATAAAACACTTGTGCTCTCTTTTAAAACCAAGGAAAATACAGTCCGGTCTCGAATCCTAACTAATACAGATCTGTCCTGTAATCCTTGTATCACAATGATCTTAATCCAGTCCTGCAGCACTGCTGGTAATTCCTGACTGCTGGCTTTTCATCAAGATGTGTTTATTTGTTCACAGAGAGAATAAACCCTCTGCAGTGATGAAATCTTTAACAACATGAAAAATAGCTTTGTGACAAAATGGATATACCATGGATTATTCCATGTTTTCATATGTGACCATGAGACTAAATGAGGTCTTTCATTCCAAAATGAGATATCCATCATTTGAAAAAGACACTATATCATTCTTACAAAGGGACTGATGGCTCAAAATTAAAGTAAACGATGCGCCTTTTTTACACAATAGCAGACAGGATCTTTTTGTTTATGCTGCATTGCATTGTATTATGGTGGTAGTGTCTTCACAATAACATTTTGAA